GCATGTTAATTATACTGGAATTTAAAAATAAAAAATAAAAATTTTTTAAAAAAGCTGTTTCCTTCTGAGAACTGCCCTATGTCAGTTGGTCTCAAAGTGTGGTCCCTGGACTAGCAGCATCAGCATCATCTGGTCATTTGTTAAAAATGCAAATTCTCAGGCCCCACCCCTGGCCTATTGAGTAAGAAACTTGGGACTGGGGTCCAACCACCTGTTTCTGAAGCTCAGTAATGTTGGTCAACCACTGCCTTAGAGCGAATGGAAACCCAGATCAGAAATGCCGAGGATGATACGTCTTCCTTTCAGGGGTTATCTGCAGACAAAGGCTGAGTGATTCAGGAAGAACAAAAGGCTGCTAGCCCCTTCCCTCGATAGGGGACAACTTCAGTGATGCCATTCAACCTTCAGAACTTCTTGTGGGATCAGGCTGGGGCTGGAATTGAGCTGAACCTATACCTTTGCCAAACTTCTTCCCTGCCCTATTCTGCACCCTCATTCCCTTAAGAGGTGTGAGAAGTTGAATTGTGTCCTCCCCAGAGAGAAATGTTGGGAGTCCTAACCCCCAGTGTCTCAGAATGTGGACTTATTTGGAGATAGGGTCGTTGCAGATGAAATTAGTTAAGATGAGGTCATACTGGAGTAGGGTGGGCCCTTAAGTCTATATGACTGGTGTCTGTGAAGACACAGGGACACAGGGAGAGTGCCCTGTGAAGATGGTCTGCCGAGTGTAGACAGTTTAAGGAGAAGAAAGGCAAGGTTAAGGGTCTGATTAACTGGCCTCACATACTGCAGATCCAGCGGATCCAGCTACCTTCGGCTCTGTCACGGCCCCTCACTCTTGTTGCTTTCTACTGCTCACCATTCGTGGGGGTTGTGCCCCTTTCCAAGCTTTTTCATGGTGTTCCCAAATGGTGCTCAATATACTGAGCTGCCCACAGAAGGTAATCTGATGAGGACAGAGTGGCATTGCTCTCAGAACTCCCTCAAAGGGAGCAATTTCCAGTTATACCTCTGCTCAAAGTTGGAGTACTTGAATTAGGGAAAAGAAATCATTAAACAAGGGATCATGGAAGGACTTTGGCTTCAATTCCTAAGTGATGCTAAATAACAAGAACTCATGGAAGGTATTAAAGGGAAATTCCTCGTGTTGATTTGTTGGATTTTGGCCTGTCCTTTCTTTTGGAATTTCTCCAGTGTAAACTTTTAAGTCATTTTCTATTTGTAGAATTCTGTCATAGCTCAGGCTTGGCTTCTCCAACTGGTGCTTTCCTTAGATGAAGCATTCAGTAAGATATAACTAAAGAAAATAAACATTTGACTAGAATTACTATAATGTGCTGATAATGAAAGGACAGTTTTAAAAAAAATGGTGTATATTAAAACTTAAGTTTCCTAAAGTAGCTTTTCCAAAATAACAAAACATCATTTGCTGAGTAGTGACTGAAGATACACTGACTGGCTCTAGCTCTTTTTTGTTTAATGTGGAATAATTCTATATACTTCAAGGCCAAATTTGCTTCACTTAGCTTAATTGTCAGTTAGATGAATGGAAAATAGTATGTTAGTAATTCCAATTTATTTTGCTTTGATATAGTCAAGATTCATGCAGTGGGGAAAGAAAAGGAGGTTAGATTCTGATCTGACAACTTTTTCTTATTATTCATATTTTGCTATAATTGCTAACATTTAACAAACACTCCAACTAAATTACAAATAAAATACACAGCTGCCATTTCTTCTCATAAAAGGAAAATGTTAAGTCCAGTATCATTACAGAAAATTAAAAAAAAGACATACTTGTATGGTTAATTTTTGTATTTTCTGCGAAGAAATACCGTATTTGACGAAAACCTTCATAAATAGGTTTAAGTTGATTGTGTTTTGGTCAAAACTCTTTTCTTAAATCTGATTGCCCGGCTTTGAATTACTCTTCATAAAGACAATCTGTTCATACGATTCTCAACAAGACTGATTTTCCAAAAGCCATGAGGGAATCTGGTAGTTTCATTTTTCATATATAACAAGTGCCATTTTACTGTTCAAAATGGTCTGTGTAGTTGCCTGAGGGGATTGGTGGTCCATAGATCTGCTATTAATAAAATAAGCTCAGAATTGTTCATGGTGAGAAGAGATCTTGCAAAACCCATGATCCTATGTGACACTGATGCTTGGGAACTTCTTTCCCTTTGAAAGGAAATTGTCTAAGAAGTTGGAGGTTGTCTGGGCAACTTCAGTTCTCTTGGACTCTGGGATCACGGTTGAGTGAGGACTTACAGGAAGACATAAATACGCAGCCACCTCTCTGATGTGAGGAATGTGTATATATGTGTGTGAACCTCAGTTTTTTCATTCGCAGAATGGAGGCAATGCTGCCTACTTCATTGGGTTTTTGATGGGAATCAAAATAAGGCAATTTTAAGAAGGTACTTTTACCTATGTTAAAGGTGGGAGTGATAGAAAAATGGGAATTGATCAGTGAGGATTATGTTAGTGGTCTCTGTACATATTTACTCAGTGCCTGGCTCTTCTTTAAAATGGAGATAATTATATTGACCTACTTCAAAAGGTTGATGAGAACAACTAATTACTGTTGGTAAAACACTTTGAAAACATCCAGTGCTATCTATGAAAATGCTAAATACCAACTTCCCGATGCAGTTGAAAGGATTAATTAGGGAATGTTTGCTTGAACCTTGATCCTCTAATGAAAGGTGTTTCTCCTGTTGCTATTTTTGTGTTAACTATTATTTTGCACCATAATTTGCTGGATAGTAAGCGTCATGTTTGGCTGGTTTTTAAATGTTTCCAGACAGAATTTTGATAATTTTTCTTGGAAAGATCAAATGGATTTCATTTTGTAAAATGCCCAAGGTCATTCAACCAAACTGACCTTTGCTTATTTTGTGATGTCACTCACAGCTTCTAGATGTTCTCATTCAAGCCTGTCTTTCATGGTCTCCTTGAAATATTGTGCTCAGTGATGGATTTACAATTCTCTAACTCCTCTATTTCTCTGGCCATTTTTTCCACCAATTCCAAAAGAACTAAGAAGATTTTGGGGAAAAAAATGACTATTTAAAAAACTCATTAAGAATTAGGATTTGTTTAAAAATAAAAGTTGTCACTTCTATTTTCCATACTTAAATTTGTATGTAGGTATCTGTTTCATTCTCTTAGTTTTCTTTTTTCTTTTTCTTTTTTTTTTGAAGATTTTATTTATTTGTCAGAGAGAGACACAGCGAGAGAGGGAACACAAACAGGGGGAGTGCTCAGCAGGGAGTCTGCTTCTCTTGGTGGGCTAATACCAACAAAACATTGCAGGAAAAAAAGAATAAATGAATTTTAAAAAATTGTAAAGATCTTTCTAACCACCAAGACATGAGGGATGCTCCACCCCTGCTTCTCACTGGTATTCACTAAGCACAACTCACATGATTAAGTGCCTAGTTAGGAAACTTTGAGTACTTGACAGAATAAATTGGAGCTATTACAGGCCATTCAGTGACGCCTCACTTTGAAAATATTTGGCTTGCAGATCAATAACTCATAAGACTGAAACAGCTCTGAAAAAAAGTTAATCTACGATCTATGAGGATACTGTGGTCCGGGAGGCCTGAATGGACATGTAGAAGGTATGCTGGGTTATTCTGACATAAAAGACTTAGCAGGATTCTTGAAGAAGCCATGCTGGGCCCTTCTGGGCTCCTACTAAATAGGGGCCATGTATCTTTGCCAGGTATGTATATAGTTAATGTTTTAAAAGATGGATTAAATGGACTGTTGGTTACTGGTAATACATTTTATTTTGGAACAGATCCACGTTGGTTTGGTTTAAAACAAAAAATTCTTTTTTTTCCAGGAGAATATGTTGTAAAAGGGTCCAGCTATTGATGTGATAAATATTGATCACCTGCTCTGTGTGAGGTACCATGTTAGAATACATACTCTGTCTCTCTCTCTATATATATAATATACACATATACATGTATTTGTTTACATGTATGCATCTGTATATAGAGAGAACATACACATACAAAATTGGTGGTAGCTAATTAGCACAGTGAATTCACTAAATACGTAGCACATACTGTTTAAGCTGCTCATATGAGTTACTCTGCCTTGTGTAACCTCTTGAATTATTATCTCGTATAATTACTTAGTTCTTATTTGGGTTTTGGTTCCCCACCTAATCTCCGAGCTCTTCTGGGCTGGACTTAGAGCGGGCTCTGCCTTCCCTCTACTCTTCACTCCTTGGCAGTAATTAGGGGAGAGCTGCCGTTAAGCATCAAAGGGGGCGCAGACGCTTAGCCGAGGGCAGGGTTCCATTTCTCCAAAGCCATGCCCTTTCCGCACATTTTGAAGGTGATGTGTTGACACCACAGGATGCAGATGAAAAGACCTTAGAGAAAAGTATATACGTAACACAAACTTTTCGTGTGCCTAGAAATCACCGAGGGATCTTGTTAAAGAGTAGGCTGTGAATCAATAGGCCTGGGGCCGGGCCTGACCTTCTGCTTGTAACAAGCTCCCACGTGATGCCGGGGCTTCTGGTCCGTGGATCACACTGGGCTGATGCAAGGTTCTATGCAATGGCCGCATCAGGGACCAGACCCTGGTAACCTTCGACGAAGACGCCAGAGAGAGGGGGCGAGCGCTTCCCCCAGCCCTGGCCGCGCCCCGACCCGGGTCAGCAGCCCAGGTTAGCCCGCCGCAGTCGCGCCCTGCTGGCCTCTGAGCGCGGGGTGCGCCGCTCGCCTCCCCCTACTCCCCCGGCGCGAGCCCGAGCGCAGCCGCCAGGGGGGCGCAGCCGCCAGGGGGGCGCAGCCGCCAGGGGGGCGCAGCCGCCAGGGGGGCGCAGCCGCCAGGGGGGCGCAGCCGCCAGGGGGGCGCAGCCGCCAGGGGGGCGCAGCCGCCAGGGGGGCGCAGCCGCCGGCGGGCCACGCGCCTCACGTGGGCCATCTCCCGCCGCCCCTCCCGGAAAGCCGGCAGACCGGTTTTACCTGTCCGCGTCCGGGGAGGCTTCCGACCCGACTGCAGGCGCTCGCGGGAGGCCGGCGTCCTTCTTCATCTCCACCCCCTGCTTCCAGTCACTTCATTTCTCTACCCGACACTGCCGAAGCCGCGGAAAGCCGGGACCCAGCCCAGCCGCTGGTTGAGCACCGTCTCCAGCGACGTGTGTGAAACTGTTCAACCCCAAACACAAACACCAGCCACTGACATGTTTTAAGAAACGCCACAGTTGGATGACTGCGGAACCAAAACAGACCAAATGGGGAGGCAAGAAGGGAAAGCAATTGGCCCAGTTCGGTCGGAGAAGCGGCTCGTGTTACACTCCCTTTGCCAGTTAGCGTCGTGGGCGTTTGTTGCTGTGTTAATTACAGTTCTTCCCCGAGTCGGAGGCGAGAACAGCCCTTGTGGAACAGTTTCAAGTGGAACGTTCCACCGGGAGGAAAACAACTGCCCTTCTCCCCAGCCGGAGGGATTCCCACTAGGCAGCCCCCGGGCAGCAGGCAGCCCCCGGTGCGCGCGGTGCGCCCGCACCGCCCGCGCGCCTCCCAGGCTGGCTTCCGGGTGCGCTCGCGGACGGAGACCCGCGCGCCTCGGCCGCGCGCCGCTGCGGGGGCCCGGGAGGCCGGCGGGGAGCGGGGCTGCCGGCTTCTCCTCAGGGCACGCCTGCGGCGGGCGGGAGGGCGCCTCGCAATTGCTGCTTTTCTCTAAGCGTCCCGGGGAGCTCCCGGAGTGGCGGTCGGGCGCGGGAGGCCGCTTGCTTCACCTTTGGACGGGCAGCGTGAGGGTGCGCGCGGCTGGTTCAGCAGGAGTCAGGGACAAAAGTCAGATAGTGGCAGCAGGGTGGCAAGTACCTGGCCTTGCAGGCAAAATGACCTTGCAGGCTCCCAAATCCTGTCTCTGCCCCTCAGTAAATGTATGTGACCTTGGGCAAGTTGATACTTTTCTGAACTGCGCTCGTTTCTCATGGGATGCCGGCTACGTTGCAGGACTCTTCTAAACACTCGGCCCTCACAACCTCCTAAAGAAGTACTCTTAAAATTGCCATTCCGCACACGGGAAAAGTGAGTCCTAGAGACAGACGTTAACCAATGCATCCAAGGCCACACAGCTGAGGAGTGGTAGGGCTGGGATTGGAAACGAGGGGGTCTAGCTCCAAAGTCTATGCTCGCCCCACGGAGCTAAACTGCATGTTGTATCATAATGTGTATGTGAAGTACCTGGAAAAGACGGGATAGCTATAGGCACATCATCATCAAGCTGATCCTAGCTAAGATGTAATGGACCCATTATTGATTTACAAGAGAAGTGACAGACGGGGTGGGGAGGGTCCACGTGGTTATGGGAAATCCATCAGAGGCAGCTGAACAGGGATTGGGGAATAGGAGCGTGGATCCCAGCAACAAGCCCATCAATGTGTCCTAGGCCCCCCATTCCCAACACCTTGCCAGGTGTGTCCGCAGCCCGGACATGAGTAAAGACCCTAGAAAAAAAAGGTTAGAAGCCATAGGGTCAGGGCAGCCCCGTGAAAAGGGGCCTGAGGCGGTGAGTCTATACTAAAGCCACCTACTAGCTGCATATCATTTATTTACAACAGTACAAAAAAATACTAAGGTTGGTTGTCCTGCTATTTTGAAAAATACATTTTTTCTGCAGTGCTATTTGGGCCTCTTAAGAATACAATTCTTGGAAATGACTCAAAAACCGCAATCCAAAAACCATGGTGTGCACTTGAGACTGTCATCTATGCCACTTACGGGCTGGCACGGGTGTCTGAGATAATATATGGGAAGTGCTTGGGAGTAAAAGCACTAGGTAATGATATTTTAAAAGGATACCATACATGTTTTGATTGTAACAATAACCTTCCTGAGAGAATTCTGTCACTAACATGTGGCTTTCACCCAGAGTTTCATGTCCTTCCTTCTTGGTAAGGCCGTTTTCAGAATAGTGCACAGACAGGGTGGGAAAGGCCAGGAAACAGGTGATTTTGGAAGTGGTACAATTTCTGCCTATGAAGAATTGTTATGCAGGAGGAAGGCAGTTTTTTGGGTTCTATAGAGAGCAGCCTGTTTACCTTTCACCAGACCATTGCCCATTCATCAGGACAGTTTGGGGTTGGCTGGGAATCTAGACACCGTGAATGAGTTCAGTATCGCTTCTGTAACACATCACCACAAATCTGGTGCCTTCAAACAACCCAATTCATCATCTAATAGTTTGGTAGGTTAGAAAGCTGACACAAGTCTCCCTGGGTGAAAGTGTTAGTCAGCAGGGTTTGCACCCCTTCCTGGCGACTGGAGAGGAGAATCTATTTCCTTGCCTTTTCTAGCGTCTGGAGGCTGCCCATATTCCTTGGTTTATGGCCCCTTCATCCATCTTCAAAGCTAGCAATGGCGGGTCAAATTCTTCTTCTTTTTTTTTTTTTTTAAAGATTTTATTTATTCATTTGAGACACAGAGATACAGAGACAGAGAGAGAGCATGAGCAGGGAGAGAGGGAGAGGGAGAAGCAGGCTCCCCGCCGAGCCAGGAGCCCGATGTGGGGCTCGATCCCAGGACTCCGGGACCATGACCTGAGCCGAAGGCAGACGCTTAACCGACTGAGCCACCCAGGCATCCCCGGGTCAAATTCTTCTTAACGCTGCATCACTTCTGACTCTCTCCTGCTTTCCTCTTCCACTTTTAAGGACCCTTGTGGTTGCATTGGGCCCACCTAGATAATCCAGGATAACCTCCCTATTTTAAGGTCCTCTGATTAGTGATTTAATTCCATTTGTCACCTGAATTCCCCTTTGCCATGTAAGGTAACATATTCATGGACTCTGAGGTTCAAGACATGGACATCTTTGGGGGCCATTAGTCTGCCGGCCACACATCCCAATTGCTTTGGTGGCAGGCATAATCTTAATTAATTCATAAACATATGCTCAACACTTTCTTCGTGAAAAGTACATTAGCAGGGACTTTGAGTCTGGTAGACCTGTGTTTGAGTCCTAGTTCTGCCACTTACTAGTTAAATTATTTTGGGCCAGTTACACAACCTTTCTGACCCTCAGTCTCTTCATCTGTGAAATAGGGATAGTAATAGTACCTACCTTGTTGTTTGAATTGAATGAGATAATGCTAGAAAACACTTAGCACAGAGCCTGGCATGTGGTAAACACTCAACGAACGTTTTGTTTATTATTATTAATCTGTTATGAGGATTGCAAAGAGGCATAATGCATGGTGCCTGTGCTTGTGGAGTGTGGGGAATAAGGCGTACTCACACATGCAATCGTGAAGTTATCTAACACACAGGAATAGATAGTGAAAGATATGGGACGGTATCATACCTACGTGCTAAATGGGTTACTACAGACAATAAATGCTATTGAGTGAAATAAGATATTTTCAGTAAGCAGGAAAGGTAGGAATGAAGGAAGTAGGATTGATGTTGAGACTAAAAGAAAGGTTGAATATAGACCAGGTAGAGGGGAAAATGTTGGACACATGAGTATATACGTGACAGATTGCAAGGTGACAGTAAATAAGGTGGTTTACTTGTCATCTTATGGAATGTAAGGTTTGTGTAGGGGTGTTCATTCGTTTCCATTTTTTTTTCCCTAGAATGTTCAGGGAAGGAGTGGACTATCAGACTCGAAGGGGCCAGACTGGAAGGGCTTGAATACTGGGTTATATAGTTAAGATTTTCTTCTGTGATAGCAGGGAGCTATGGAAAGTTTTAGAACAGAGGTAGATTCCTGGTGAAAGCAGTGTTTAAAAAGGTTGATCCAAGAATAGTATGTGTGGGTAGGTTGGTGGGAGGAGAGCCTGCAGGTAGGGAGAGCTGTTGGGAGATGTTTTCAGTGGTCCAGATAATAATGGCTGGAGGAGATGTGATAGCCATCAGCTCCAGGAAAGGGAATGGATGTAAGAGACATGACAAAGCAAGAACAAAGAGAGGCCTTAGTGAGATAGAGGGAAAGGATAAAAGATTCCTGGAAGTTTGGTAATAGAAATAATAGAAATCAGAAACAGAGTTCACATTGAGTGTTCCTGTGTGGAAGATGTTGGCAGGTCATCAGGTGGCACATGTCCAGTAGGCTATTGGAAATGTGGAACTGGAAGAGAGAGAGAAGTCATAGCCAGATGATGAGGTTTGGAAATCATTAGCAGAGAAGTGGTGGCTGAAATCCTTCACTCCTGCCCCTAGGCTTTCAGGATCAAACCTGTTTCAGCGCCCACACTGGTGGATTCCTAGTCTCATCCCTCTTTTCCTCCTTGTTATGGGCTGAATTGTGTCTCCCCAGAATTCATATATTGTATCCTATCCCCCAGTACCTCAGCATGTGACTATATTTGGAGATAGTGTCTTTAAAAAGGTAATTAAGATCAAATGAGGACATCGACTGGTGTCTTTATAGGAAGAGGAGATTAGGACAAAGACACATACAGGGGAAAAGACCATGTGAAGACATAGAGATCAGATGGCCATCTACAAGCCAAGCAGAAAGGCCTCAGAAGAAACCAACCCCACAGGCACCTTGATCTCCAACTTATAGCCCCCAGAATTGTGGAAAAAAAAAAAAATCTCTATTGTTGAAGTCATCCAGTCTGTGGCATCTTGTGATGGCAGCCCTAGCGAATGAATCCACTCCTCCAGGGACGAGTGTCCTTGTACCACCGGCCCGTTGGAGCTGAGGGCACCCCATGCTGCCAACATATCCCTCTGCCTACATTTTAACAGGCCCAGCCCCTCATTATCTGGATATATTGCGGGTAGTATTTAGTGGCTATCAGAAATGTGGGTCCCTGGGAACTAAAAACAAGGTTATCCTTCCTTGATAACAGTGCTCTGTGTCTTGGGAGGCTCCCCATGGTGGGGACTCTGGTGTTCAGAGCAGAACTTGTAGAAGAGGGAGTTGGTCAAAGAAGCCTTTCTGAGCACCCAGCTCACAGCTGTTCGAGGACTGTTCTGCCACCTGTTCCTAAGGCTGTCTCTGGCAACGGATTCCTCCATGTGCCTGCCTCTGAAAGCATGCTCAGAACAGAAAGAAATGTGTCCTTCCTCGTTAGTAAGACAGAAAAACGAGTTTTACTGCACTTCTAATTCATACTTTTTTTCTTTTCATTTAATAATGATTCTGAATCTCGGTTGGGCCCTGTTTTTCAAAACACAAAATAAAGTACATGGGCGCTCTGAAGCCCAAGTTAGCACTTGAAGTAGCCCTCAGGGGGGGAAGAAACAGAGTGATATTTTCACACAACCACCTACAAAGAGCTTATCTATGAAAGGCTAGAAGAGCAAGTGTCCAGAAAGCTCCTGTTAATTCAACTGGACAGATTCCAAGTACCTGTCTTGTAGGCTTGTGACAGTGAAAATATTCAGACCAGGACCATGTCCTTGGTGACTTCTGTGTTCATTAGAGCTGGCCTTAATGATGGATTAAGGCCATTATTATGAGGAAGATGCTGATGAACTGTTCTCCATCTTCACAGAGGACAGAATGAGAGCAAGTGGGCTGAAGGTGTATAGCCAACGGAGTCATCCTGCCGGAAATAGAAAGCCTGCTTCTAAGGCCATTTTAAGGTCTGACTAGGTTGTGCTCTAGCTCCCTCCTCTGGGCTCCCTTAGTATTACCCTGCATTTTCCCCAGTCTGTTTACTAGGTTGTGGAGTTATTTGTTTAGGTGCCGGTTTCTATCAGAAGACCGTGAACTCCTGAGAGCATGGCTCCTTTCTCTTCTATCTTTGTCCCTCTGCCTCAGCCCCTAGATGGCCCTGGGTGATGCCTCAGTGGATCTGACTAACTCTCTCCTTCGAAAACTTTGTAGTGTCCTAGAGACTCTGTGTGTGTGTGTGTGTTAGAGAGAGAGAGAGAGGGAGAGAGAAAGAGAAAGAGAG